ATTTCTTTGCCATCATGGACAGCGTCTTAATAGCCGTGATGGCGTATGACCGGTTTGTGGCCATTTGCCACCCCTTACACTATGCCACCATCGTGAGTCTGCGCGTCTGTGTCCTGCTGGTTGGTGGCCCGTGGGTGTTTTCCTGTTTCGTGTCGCTCATCCACACCCTCCTTATGGCCCGCCTGGTTTTCTGTGGCACCAATGAGCTTCCCCACTACTTCTGTGACCTCACTCCCCTTCTCCGACTTTCTTGCACCGACACATCCGTGAACCAGATCTTTGTGCTCTTCGTGGCCGGGATGGTGATCGCCACGCCCCTCGTCTGCATCCTGGCCTCCTACGCTCGCATCATTGTCGCCATCGTGAAGGTGCCCTCCGCAGGTGGCAGGAAGAAAGCCTTTTCCACCTGCAGCTCTCACCTCTCCGTGGTCGCCCTCTTCTATGGGACCACCATTGGGGTCTATCTGTGCCCCTCATCGGTCCGCACCGCTGTGAAGGAGAAAGCTTCTGCCGTCATGTACACAGCAGTCACCCCCATGCTGAACCCCTTTATCTACAGCCTGAGGAACAGAGACCTGAACGGGGCCCTGAGGAAGCTCGTCAGCAAAAAGATCGGCTCATCTTCCTGACCACCAGGACACTGGGGGACTCCCAGGGGGTAGAATGGGAACATTTGGGATCTTGGGCTAAAGTCTGGAATTGTGTGAGTTGGAAGAGGAGCCACTTTGCATTTTGAGTTGTAGTAGTTTAAAGGGAAACCTCAAGATGTCTTGTGACTGTTTGTGTAGTAGTTTAAAAGGAAACCTCAAGATGTCTTGTGACTGTTTTCACAAATACTGGAACCAGTAAGGATATAAGTACGCCTCACATTGTCTTCCCAGAAAGCTGCATCTAGCCCTGGCCAGACTGGATTTACCCCGGTTTAGAATCCATTTGGCACTCAACAAATATTTATTGAGTGGCTATTCCAGGCTTGATGTTAGGTGCTGGCCACAGAGTGGCAAGTAGGAGAGGCAGGATCTCTACAGTTTGGGGCTGTAGGTGAGTGTGAGAGAAGACATTTGACACGTGATGACAATAGAATGGAATATGGACGATTAGGGGAAGGACAGGATACAACTGGGCGACCTGTCAGAGTCTGGAGGGGAGGATTAGGGTACGATTCCTGGAAGAGGTGACCCAAAATCCAAACGACAAGACAGTATTTTCCATCTGAAAGAGCATCTTAGAACAACAACAAAAAAAAAAAAAACAGTAAGATAAAAAAATAGAGAAGAAGAGAGAGAAAAGTGCATTTGAGAAGTGAAAAATCCAGACATAGAGAATGCCAGGTCAAGAAGGGTTTTAGAAGCTAACCTAAGAGCTTGACCTTTCACCTATGAACCAGGCAGTTAACTCGACTTCCAGGCACCAAAGACAAGGAGCTTCTGGATGAGACGCGTGTCCCGCTACCCTTGCCCCCACCATATCTTCTAGGGGAGACGGCGTACACCAGGGAAAAGCTGTAGAAGTCACAAGGACAGAGGAGAAGGGGATTCAGACCACGCGCTGAGAGAGTGAGGAACCACCATCTGATTGGTATAAATCTTTACCAACAAAAAAAAAACCCAGTAAGATAAAAAAAAAAATAGAGAAGAAGAGAGAGAAAAGTGCATTTGAGAAGTGAAAAATCCAGACATAGAGAATGCCAGGTCAAGAAGGGTTTTAGAAGCTAACCTAAGAGCTTGACCTTTCACCTATGAACCAGGCAGTTAACTCGACTCCCAGGAACCAAAGACAAGGAGCTTCTGGATGAGACGCGTGTCCCGCTACCCTTGCCCCCACCATATCTTCTAGGGGAGACGGCGTACACCAGGGAAAAGCTGTAGAAGTCACAAGGACAGAGGAGAAGGGGATTCAGACCACGCGCTGAGAGAGTGAGGAACCACCATCTGATTGGTATAAATCTTTACAGCCAAAGGGAAGATACCAGTCAGCTGAGTCATGAATCTCGAGCCCAGGAAGAAGCCGAGGCACGTCTTCATTTCCTCACATGCCTGCGGAATGCACATCAGTAAAACTACTTATAACAGAGATGACATCTGTTCATTGCCTGTTTTTGTCACCTTACTAAGTTTCTCTGAATTGTTCCATTCCGCTATTCTGAAGTCCCTATGAAGGCGTTAAACTGCATTCGTGTCTACTATAAAGTAATCCTCACACTCACGTGGAAGATTTGCAATATGGGACGAGAGGTGACTTTGAAGGGCCCAGAAATTTTCAAATGGTGCTAAAGAGCTGACATTATCTTAAGATAAACAGCTCTGAGTGATCATACATCTAATTTGCTTTTGCTACTTTTCTCCCAAGAGAATTTAATTGGAATTTCTCAGGTGAACAAAGAGACTTCCAGACTTGGCCCTGCTGTAGAGCTGTCAAGTAAGCACATAGGTTGGAAAGACAAAGCAAATCCTCTTTCTGGTGGGTATTCTGGTGAATAAAACACAGAATTTAAGAATATTGCAGTTTGCCATGGGCAGTCCATGAGTCTGGTCAGGGCCTTTTTGGAGTAACCAAAACCCGTGTGAAAGTGAAAGTGGGATCACAGCTCTCTCTCCTCACAAACACCCTCCATTCTCCCACCCCATGCGCGCAAGTGGTTACGGTGCTTGTCGGCAGAGAGTTAAAATTGCCAAAGACTTGAGAAATTATTACAACTCAGGGGCTCCTAGAAATGTGTGAAAACCTCATTCTCTTTATCTAGCTGGAGCTAAAGCATTTATATTAGCCCCGTCTATCCTCTGTGGAATGAGAGATGCTGCAGGCACCAATAAAAATCTCCTAAGATTCTGTCAGTCAAACAATCTCCTTCTTGTTCTGTGTTAAGAAGTAAACAACACAACCCCAGCAGAGATTTGTTCTGGCAGTCCTTGCATTATAAACTTCCATCATTTGTTGGCATTGATATATGTGTTTCATTTCATTCATTAACAAATATTTACCACGTGCCTACTCTATTCCAGCTGTTATTCTAGGCACTGGGGGTCCAGTGTTAAGAAGGAGAAACAAACCCCCGTCTTTGTGACTACAAAGGCATAGCACAAGGGTGTTCTGGGTGCAATGAAACTGTTTTCTGTCCTAATTGCAGAGCAATGACTTTAAAGGGACCAACAATTTTAGCTGTTGTTCTTGCACAGATTCCATGAATGTCTGCATAAGATAAAATTCCAAGAACTGTACACTCATACAAAAAGTCAGCTTTGCTGATGTTAATTTTTAAAAGTAAAATGTTTAAACAGCACAAAACAAACAACCATTCTCAGTCCAGTAGGGAAAATGACAAGGATCAAAGAAATACGTAAAGGAACCAGATCATTACCAATGGCGAGAAGGACTTCAAAGGCATACAGCAGGGGGGTGTGACAGAGATGGATGGGGACGTGCTTTACTCTGCGGGTTACTGAGGGTCTTCCTGATAAGGTGACTCCTGAGCTGAGACTTGAATTTATCCTAGAAAGAAGTATCCCCAAGAAGGAGGTGGGGACAGTGTGCCAGAAGGAGGGACCTACACATGCAATGTGAGGAACAAGTTGGCATTTAAATACATTTTCAGGACACATGGTACTGGTATAAAAATAGACATTCAGACCAGAGGAGTAGACTTGAGAACCCAGAAGTCACCCCTCAGGCTTCTAGCCATCTGATATTGGACAAAGGCAACAAAAGTCTACATTGGGGAAATGACTGCCTCTTCAACAAATGGTTCTGGGAAAAGTGGACATCCATCTGCAGAAGAATGAACCTGATGTGCATCTCTCACCACACGCTAAAGTCAACTAAAACTGGATTAAAGACTTAAGCGTAAGACCCCAAACTGTAAAATTACTAAGGGAGAGTATATGTGAAACAGTCCAGCAGTTAGGTCAGGGCACAGGCTTTGTGAACATGAGCCCAAAAGCACAAGCTGCAAAAGAAAAAATAAACAAATGGGACTATATCAAACTAAAAAGCTTCTGCACTGGAAAGCAAACAGTCAACAGAGTGAAACGACAGCCTACAGAGTGGGAGAAAAATTTTGCTAACTATGCATCTGACAAGGGATTAATATCCAGAATATACAAGGAACTCAAACAGTTACATAGCAAAAAACAAAAACAAAAACAAATAACCCAATTTGAAAATGGGCAAAGGAGCTGAATAGACATTTTTGAAAGGAAGACATACAAATGGCCAACAGGTATATGAAAAAATGCTCAACATCACTAGTCATCAGGAAAATGCAAATTAAAACTTCATTGAGACACCACCTCAGCCCAGTTAGACTGGCTATGATCAAAAAGACAGTGAATAATAAATGCTGGTGAGGGTGTGGAGAGAAGGGAACACTCCTGCACTGTTGGTGGGACTGTAAATTAGTACAGCCACTATGGAAAACAGTATGGAGGTTTCTCAAACAACTACAGATAGATCCTCCATATGATCCAGCAATCCCACGTCTGGGTATATACCCAGAGGAATGGAAATCATCATGTCGAAGGGATACCTGCACT